CGGCCATTAAAACAATAGTCCATTAATCTGATTCTTTCTCTTCTTTCTTTCTTTCTTTCTTTCTTTCTTTCTTTCTTTCTTTCAAACGATCATCCTTATGTCATTTCTGTTCATTAAAACAGAATAGTCCATTAATCTGATTCTTTCTTTCTTTTCTTTCTTTCTTTCTTTCTTTCTTTCTTTCTTTCTTTCTTTGCTTTCTTATGATCAAGTGTAGTATCTGTTATGTCATTTCCGGCCATTAAAACGGAATAGTCCATTAATCTGATTCTTTCTTTCTTTTCTTTCTTTCTTTCTTTCTTCTTTCTTTCTTTCTTTCTTTCTTTCTTCTTTCTTTCTCTCCAAGCAGTATCTTCTTTCTTTCATTTCCGGCCATTTTCACAGAATAAAGTCCATTAATCTGATTCTTTCTTTCTTTCTTTCTTTCTTTCCACTTCTTTCTTTTCTTTCTTTCTTTCATTTCAACCAAGCAGTATCACTTATGTCAAGTGTAGCCATCTGTTCTTAATAGTCCATTAATCTGATTCTTTTCTCTCCACTTTCTTTCTTTCTTTCTTTCTTTTTTCTTTCTTTCTTTCTTTTTCACTAAAGCAGTATCAAAGTGTCATTTCTGTTCATTAAAACAATAGTCCATTAATCTGATTCTTTCTCTCACTTTCTTTCTTTCCTTCTTTCTTTCTTCTTTCTTTCTTTCTTTTCACTAAACCAAAAGCAGTATCACTTATCTCATTTCCGGCCATTAAAACAGAATAGTCCATTAATCTGATTCTTTCTTTCTGTTCTTATCAACTTAATCTTTCTTTCTTTCTTTCTTTCTTTCTTCTTTCTTTCTTTCACTGAAACCAAGCAGTATCAAAGTTATATATCTGTTAAAACTAGTCCATTAATCTGATTCTTTCTTTCTTTCTTTCTTTCTTTCTTTCTTTCTTTCTTTCTTTCTTTGCTTTTTCTGAAAGCATATCACTTATGTCATTTCCGTTCATTAAAACGGAATAGTCCATTAATCTGATTCTTTCTTTCTTTCTTTCTTTCTTTCTTTCTTTCTTTCTTTCTTTCTTTCTTTTTTTTCAAACCAAGCAGTATCAAAGTGTCATTTCCGGCCATTAAAACATAATAGTCATTAATCTGATTCTTTCTTTCTTTCTTTCTTTCTTTCTTTCTTTCTTTCTTTCTTTCTTTCTTTCTTTCACTAAAACCAAGCAGTATCACTTATGTCATTTCCGTTCATTAAAACAAATAGTTCATTAATCTGATTCTTTCTTTCTTTCTTTCTTTCTTTCTTTCTTTCTTTCTTTCTTTCTTTCTTTTCTTTCAAAACCAAGCAGTATCAATGTCATTTCCGGCCATTAAAACACTAGAATAGTCCATTAATCTGATTCTTTCTTTCTTTCTTCTTTCTTTCTTTCTTTCTTTCTTTTCTTTCTTTCTTTCTTTTCTTTCCTGATCAAAGTGTAGTATCTTCTTCTTTCCCGGCCATTAAAACTTTCTCTCCATTAATCTTTCCTTCTTTCTTTCATCTTCTTTCTTTTTTTCTTTCTTTCTTTCTTTCTTTCTTTCTTTCTTTCTTTCTCTCCACTTCTATCAATTCTTTCTTATGTCTTCCCGGCCATTAAAACAGGATAAAGTCCATTAATCTGTTCTTTCAGCTCTTTCTTTCTTTTTTCTCTCTTTCTTTCTTTCTTTCCTTCTTTCTTTGCTTTCTAGGCCTTATCACTTATGTCATTTCCGGCCATTAAAACTGTTCTAGTCCATTAATCTGATTCTTTCTTTCCTTTCTTTCTTTTCTTTCTTTCTTTCTTTCTTTCTTTCTTTTTTCACTTTCAATCAAAGTATCACTTATGTCATTTCCAGCCATTAAAACTGATTCTTCCATTAATCTGATTCTTTCTTTTTTCATCTTTCTTTCCTTTCTTTCTTTCTTTCTGTTCTTTCTTTCTTTGCTTTCTCCCAATCTTATCTTCTTTCTTTCATTTCCGGCCATTAAAACTATGAATAGTCCATTATCTGTTCTTTCTTTCTTTCTTTCTTTCTTTTCTTTCTTTCTTTCTTTCTTTTCTTTGCTTTCAACTAAGAGTATCCTCATGTCATTTCCGGCCATTAAAACGGAATAGTCCATTAATCTCCCACTTCTTCTTTCTTTCTTTTTTTCTTTCTTTCTTTTCTTTCTTTCTTTCTTTCTTTCTTTTCTTTCAAACCAAGCAGTATCACTTATCTCATTTCCCGGCCATTAAAACTGAATAGTCCATTAATCTGATTCTTTCTTTCTTTCTTTCTTTCTTTCTTTTCTTTCTTTCTTTCTTTCTTTCTTTCTTTCTTTCTTTCAACTTAGCAGTATCACTTATGTCATTTCCGTATTAAAACGGAATTATCAGCTTAATCTGATTCTTTCTTTCTTTCTTTCTTTCTTTCTTTCTTTCTTTCTTTCTTTCTTTCTTTCTTTCACTGAAACCAAGCAGTATCACTTATGTCATTCCCGGCCATTAAAACGGAATAGTCCATTAATCTGATTCTTTCTTTCATCTTTCTTTTCTTTCTTTCTTTCTTTCTTTCTTTCTTTCTTTCATCATCTTATCCTTTTCATTTCCCGGCCATTAAAACAGAATATCTGTTCTTCTCAGCTTAATTTCTTTCTTTCTTTCTTTCTTTCTTCTTTCTTTCTTTCTTTCTTTCTTTTCTTTAACCCAGTATCACTATGTCATTTCCCATATCTGTTCTTAGTCCATTAATCTGATTCTTTCTTTCTTTCTTTCTTTCTTTCTTTCTTTCTTTCATCTTCTTTCACTTTTCCAAGCAGTATCAAAGTGTCATTTCTGTTCTTATTAAAACTGAATCTCCCATTAATCTTCTTTTCTTCTTTTCTTTCTTTCTTTCTTTTCTTTCTTTTTTCTTTGATCAAAGTTTCTTTCTGTTTCTTTCAGCTTAATCTGATTCTTTCTCCACTTCTCACTTTCCTTCTTTCTTTCCGGCCATTAAAACTTTTAGTCCATTAATCTGTATCTTTCTTTTTAATCTTTCTTTCTTTCTTTCTTTCTTTCCTTCTTTCTTTCTTTCTTTCTAGGCCAGTTCACTTATGTCATTTCCGGCCATTAAAACGGAATCTGTCCATTAATCTTATTCTTTCTTTCTTTCTTTCTTTCTTTCCTTCTTTCTTTCTTCTTCTTTCCTTTTCACTATCCTTCAAATTTCCGGTATCTGTTCTTATCAGTCCATTAATCTGATTCTTTCTCCCACTTCTTTCTTTCCTTCTTTCTTTCTTTCTTCTAGGCCTTTTCTTTGCTATGATCAAAGTGTAGTATCTCATTTCTTATCTGATTAATTCTTTCTTTCTTTCTTTCTTTCTTTCTTTCTTTCATCTTTCTTTCTTTTCAAACCAAGCAGTATCACTTATGTCATTTCCGGCCATTAAAAGGAATAGTCCATTAATCTGATTATTTCTTTCTTTCTTTCTTTCTTTCTTTCTTTCTTTCTTTCTTTCTTTCTTTCTTTGCTTTCAACCAAGCAGTATCACTTATGTCATTTCCGGCCATTAAAACGGAATAGTCCATTAATCTGATTCTTTCTTTCTTTCTTTCTTTCTTTCTTTCTTTTCTTTCTTTCTTTCTTTCTTTTTTCAACTTCTAGTATCCTTTTCATTTCCGGCCATTAAAACAGAATAGTCCATTAATCTGATTCTTTCTTTCTCTTTCTTTCTCTCCACTTCTTTCTTTCCTTCTTTCTTTCATCTTCTAGTATCCTTTTCACCATTAAAACGGAAAGTCCATTAATCTGTTCTTTTCAGCTTTCTTTCTTTTTCTTTCTTTCTTTCTTTCTTTTCTTTCTTTCCTTCTTTCTTTCATATCACTTATGTCATTTTCCATTAAAACGGAATAGTCCATTAATCTGATTCTTTCTTTTCTTTCTTTCTTTCTTTCTTTCTTTTTCTTTCTTTCCTTTCTTTCTTTTTCTTCTTTCTTCTTTCAACCAAATCAAAGTCACTTCTGTCATTTCCAGCCATTAAAACGGAATTCCATTAATCTCTTCACTTCTTTCTTTCTTTCTTTCTTTCTTTCTTCTTTCTTTCTTTTCTTTCTTTCTTTGCTTTCAACCAAGCATCTCACTCTTGTCATTTCCGGCCATTAAACTTTCTCTCCATTAATCTTTTCTTCTTTCTTTCATCTTCTCTTTCTTTTCTTTAAGATCAAAGTCTTTCTTTCTTTCTTTCTTTTCTTTCTTTCTCTCCACTTCTATCTTTCCTTCTTTCTTTCATCTTCTAGGCCTTTTCCATTAATCAAGATTAGTTTCTTTCTTATCAGCTTTCTTTCTTTCTTTCTTTTTTCTTTCCTTCTTTTCTTTCTTTGCTTTCTAAACCCCTTTTCACTTATGTCATTTCCGGCCATTAAAACGGAATAGTCCATTAATCTGATTATTTCTGATTCTTTCTCTCCACTTTCTTTCTTTCTTCTTTCTTTCTTCTTTCTAGGCCTTTTCACTTATGTCAAAATCCGGCCATTAAAACAGAATAGTCCATTAATCTGATTCTTTCTTTCTTTCTTTCTTCTTTCTTTCCTTTCTTTCTTTCATCTTTCTTTCTTTCTTTTCACTAAGATCAAAGTATGTCATTTCTGTTCTTATCAATAATCCATTAATCTTTCTCTCCACTTCTATCTTTCTTTCTTTCTTTCTTTCTTTTTTTTCTTTATGATCAAAGTGTAGTATCTGTTCTTGTCAGCTTAATCTATTCTTTCTCTCCACTTCTATCTTTCCTTCTTTCTTTCATCTTCTAGGCCTTTCTTTTTTCTTTCATCAAAGTGTCCTTCTGTCTTATCAGCCATTAATCTGATTCTTTCTCTCCATTCTATCTTTTCTTTCTTTCTTTCTTTCTTTCTTTCTTTCTTTCTTTCTTTTCTTTCTTTCTTTCTTATCAATTCCTTAATCTGATTCTTTCTCTCCACTTCTATCTTTTCCTTCTTTCATTAAAACTTCTAATAGCCTTTTAATCTGATTAAGCAGTTCATTCTTTCTTGTCAGCTTTCTCTGATTCTTTCTTTCTTTCTTTTTCCTTCTTTCTTTCTCTTCTTTGCTTTCTTTTCAAGCAGTATCAAATGTCATTTCTGTTCATTAAAACAATAGTCCATTAATCTGATTCTTTCTTTCTTTCTTCTTTCTTTCTTTCTTTCTTTCTTTCTTCTTTCTTTCTTTTTTCACTAGTATCAAAGTGTCATTTCTGTTCATTAAAACAATAGTCCATTAATCTGATTCTTTCTTTCTTTCTTTCTTTCTTTTCTTTCTTTCTTTCTTTCTTTCTTTCTTTTTTTCTCCAAGATCTCACTTATGTCATTTCCGGCCATTAAAACGGAATAGTCCATTAATCTGATTCTTTCTTTCTTTCTTTCTTTCTTTTCTTTCTTTCTTTCTTTCTTTCTTTCTTTCTTTCTTTTTCTTTCAATGTTTCCGTTTCACTGTTCTTATCAAGTAATCTGATTCTTTCTTTCTTTCTGTTCTTCCTTTCCTTCTTTCTTTCAAACTAGAATAGTCCATTAATCAAAGTGTAGTATCTGTTCTTTCTCAGCTTAATTTGATTCTTTCTCTCCACTTCTATCTTTCCTTCTTTCTTTCATCTTCTAGGCCTTTTCATTAAGGCCATTAAAACAGAATCTGTCCATTAATCAGATTCTTTCTTTCTTTCTCTCCACTTTCTTTCTTTCTTTCTTTCTTTTCACTCTTCTAAGCAGTATCACTTATGTCATTTCCGGCCATTAAAACGTTCTAGTCCATTAATCTGATTCTTTCTTTCTTTCTTTCTTTCTTTCTTTCTTTCTTCTTTCTTTCTTTTTTCACTATGATCAAGCAGTATCACTTATGTCATTTCCCGGCCATTAAAACAATAGTCCATTAATCTGATTCTTTCTTTCTTTCTTTCTTTCTTTCTTTCTTTCTTTCTTTCTTTCTTTCTTTCTTTCTTTTCAACTAAGATCAAAGTGTATGTCATTTGTTCTTAAAACAGAATAGTCCATTAATCTGATTCTTTCTCTCCTTTCTTTCTTTCTTTCTTTCTTTCTTTCTTTCTTTCTTTTCACTATTTCAAAGTGTCTATCTGTTCTTATCAAATAGTCTTAATCTGATTCTTTCTCTCTCACTTCTATCTTTCCTTCTTTCTTTTCATCTTCTTTCAACGCCTTTTCCATTAATCTGATTCTTTTAGTTCTCTTTCTTTCAGCTTTCTTTCTTTCTTTCTTTCTTTCTTTCTTTCTTTCTTTCATCTTTTCAACCCTTTTCACTATGATCAAAGTCCGGCCATTAAAACGGAATAGTCCATTAATCTGATTCTTCTCTCTTTCTTTCTTTCCTTCTTTCTTTCTTTTCTTTCTTTTCACTATGATCAAAGTGTATCACTTATCTGTTCTTCCAAGCCATTAATCTGAATTCCATTAATCTCCATTCTTTCTTTCTTTCTTTCTTTCTTCTAGGCCTTTTTCTTTTCAAAGTTTCTTTCTTTTCTTTTCAACCAAATCATCTCTCTTTCTTTTCCCATTAAAACATCTTCTAGTCCATTAATCTGATTCTTTCTTATCTTTCTTTCAGCTTTCTTTTCTTTCTCTCCACTTCTTTCTTTCCTTCTTTCTTTCATCTTCTGAAACCTTTTCACTTATGTCAAAGTTCCGGCCATTAAAACTGTTCTAGTCATTAAATCTGATTCTTTCTCTCTTTCTTTCTTTCCTTCTTTCTTTCATTTTCTAGGCCTTTTTTTCACTCAAACAAAGTGTCACTTATCTTTCTTATCATTAATCTGATTCTTTCTCTCCTTTTCTTTCTTTCCTTCTTTCTTTCTTCTTCTTTCCTTTTCACTATGATCAAACCAAGCAGTCATCTGTTATGTCATTTCCGGCCATTAAAACTTTCTCTCCATTAATCTGATTTTTTTCATTTCTTTCCTTTCTTTCTTTTTCTTTGGTTTCTTTTCTTTCTTTCTTTCTTTCTCTCCACTTCTATCTTTCCTTCTTTCTTTCATTTCCGGCCATTTTCACTATGAAAAGTCCATTATCTGTTCTTTCAGCTTTCTCTGATTTCTTTCTTTCTTTCTTTCTTTCTTTCTTTCTTTCTTTCTTTTTTCACACTGAAATCAAAGTGCAGTATCTTATTCATTTCCGGCCATTAAAACTTTCTCTCCATTAATCTTCTATCTTTCTTTTCTTTCTTTCTTTCTTTCTTTCTTTTTTCTATTCAAAGTGTTTCTTTCTTTCAAACCAAGCAGTATCACTTATGTCTTTCCTTTTTTTTAAAACGGAATAGTCCATTAATCTCATTCTTTCTTTCTTTCTTTCTTTCTTTTCTTTCTTTCTTTCTTTCTTTCTTTTTCTTTCTTTCATCTTCCAAGCAGTATCACTTATGTCATTTCCGGCCATTAAAACTTAGTCCATTAATCTGATTCTTTCTTTCTTCTTTCTTTCTTTCTTTCTTTCTTTCTTTCTTTCTTTCTTTTCACTATAACCAAGTGTCAGTTATCTCATTCTTAAAACAGCCATTAATCTGATTCTTTCTCTCCACTTCTTTCTTTCTTTTTTTTTCTTTCTTTCTTTCTTTCTTTCTTTTCACTAAGATCAAAGTGTCATTTCTGTTTAAAACAGAATAGCCATTAATCTGATTCTTTCTTTCTTTCTTTCTTTCTTTCTTTCTTTCTTCTTTCTTTCCTTTTCACTAAGCAGTATCAAATGTCATTTCTGGCCATTAAAACTTAATAGTCCATTAATCTGATTCTTTCTCTCCACTTCTTTCTTTCTTTCTTTCTTTCTTTCTTTTCTTTTTCACTAAGATCAAAGTTTAGTATCTGTTCTTATCAGCTTAATCTGATTCTTTCTCTCCACTTCTTTCTTTTTTCTTTCTTTCTTTCTTTTCACTTTTTTCTTTGCTTTCAAAGTGTAGTATCTGTTCTTGTCATTCCGATTCTTTCTCTCCTTCTTCCTTTCCTTCTTTCTTTCATTCTTTCTTTTCTTTCTTTCTTTCTTTCTTTCTTTCTTTTCAGCTTAATCTGATTCTTTCTCTCCACTCATTTCCTTCTTTCTTTCATCTTCTAGGCCTTTTCATTAATCTGATTGTTTCTTTCTTTCTTATCTTTTCTTTCTTTCTTTCTCTCTTTCTTCTTTCTTTCTTTCTTTCTTTCTTCTAA